AATTCCTCAAGAGTTCCACACCCAAACCCTCCTGAGATCATTCTTCCAGAGTTCCATTTCCAAACCCTCCTGAGATAATTCCTCCAGAGTTCCATTCCCAGATCCTCCTGAGATAATTCCTCCAGAATTCCACTGAAGATCCATCTCAGACAATTCCACACCCAAACCCTCCTGAGATAATTCCTCAGGGATTCCACACCCAAACCCTCCTGAGATAATTCCTCCAGGATTCCATGGCCAGACCCCCCTGAGATAATTCCTCCAGAGTTCCATGCCCAGATCCTCCTGAGATAATCCCTCAGGAATTCCATGGCCAGACCCTCCTGAGATAATTCCTCCAGAATTCCATTGAAGATCCATCTCAGACAATTCCATTCCCAAACCCTCCTGAGATAATTCCTCAAGAGTTCCACACCCAAACCCTCCTGAGATCATTCTTCCAGAGTTCCATTTCCAAACCCTCCTGAGATAATTCCTCCAGAATTCCATGCCCAAACCCTCCTGAGATAATTCCTCCAGGATTCCATTGAAGATCCATCTCAGACAATTCCATTCCCAAACCCTCCTGAGATAATTCCTCAAGAGTTCCACACCCAAACCCTCCTGAGATAATCCCTCAGACAATTCCACACCCAAACCCTCCTGAGATAATTCCTCAGGGATTCCACACCCAAACCCTCCTGAGATAATTCCTCCAGGATTCCATGGCCAGACCCCCCTGAGATAATTCCTCCAGAGTTCCATGCCCAGATCCTCCTGAGATAATCCCTCAGGAATTCCATGGCCAGACCCTCCTGAGATAATTCCTCCAGAATTCCATGCCCAAACCCTCCTGAGATAATTCCTCCAGGATTCCATTGAAGATCCATCTCAGACAATTCCATTCCCAAACCCCCCTGAGATAATTCCTCAGGAATTCCACTGAAGATCCCCGGAATTCTGGATTTTCCCTGTTTTAGATGCTGGGCCGTGCCGGGAGGCCCCAGTACGACACCAAAGGCGAAGGAATCCTCATCACTTCCCACGGGGAGCTCCAGTATTACCTGTCCCTGCTCAACCAGCAGCTCCCCATCGAGAGCCAGATGGTGGCCAAGCTCCCGGACATGCTCAACGCCGAGGCCGTGCTGGGGAACGTCCAGAACGCCAAGGTCCGGCCAATTCCCGCGGGAGTCGGGGCCGTGCGTCCGTCCCCGGGCGGGCGTTTGGGGCTTTTTAGGGTGTTTGGGTGTTTTTAGGGTGTTTTGGGGGTTTTTAGGGTGTTGTTGGGGTTTCTTAGGGTATTGTTTGGGTTTTTTAGGGTGTTTTGGGGTTTTTTAGGGTGTTTGGGTGTTTTTAGGGTGTTTTGGAGGTTTTTAGGGTGTTTTGGAGGTTTTTAGGGCATTTTGGGGGTTTTTAGGGTGTTGTTTGGGTTTCTTAGGGTATTGTTTGGGTTTTTTAGGGTGTTTTGGGGGTTTTTAGGGTGTTTTGGAGGTTTTTAGTGCATTTTGGGGTTTTTTAGGGTGTTGTTGGGTTATTTTAAGGTGTTGTTGGGATTTTTTAGGGTTTTTTAGGGTGTTTTGGGGTTTTTTAGGGTGTTCTGGGGTTTTTTAGGGTGTTTTGGGGATCTTTTAGGGTGTTGTTGGGGTTTTTTAGGGTGTTTTGGAGGTTTTTAGGGTGTTTTGGGGTTTTTTAGGGTGTTTTGGGTTTTTTTAGTGTGTTTTTGGCACAAGCAACACCAGCTTTTCTGGGAATTCCGAATGAGGCAAAGCAGTTTCCCAGAAAACCTGGAAATCAGGAAAATCAGCTTTCCTGAAAAACTTCAACCGAGATAAAAACCCAGGGGGAAATTCAACACCAAAAAAAAAAACAACCAAAACCCGAATTTTCCCGTTTTTCTGTCACCGTTTGGCGGGATTTAATTGGGATCAGCTCCACCCCAGGAGCTTCCAGGAGATCCCTGGGGTGAGGCAGGATCCGGGAATTCCGTAGGACGCGGTGAATTGGTTGGGATACACGTACCTGTACATCCGCATGCTCCGCTCGCCGACGCTTTACGGCATTTCCCACGAGGATCTGAAATCGGATCCGCTCCTGGAGCAGCGACGCCTCGACCTCGTCCACACGGCGGCGCTGATGCTCGATAAGAACAACCTGGTGAAGTACGACAAGAAAACCGGGAATTTCCAGGTGGGATGGAGGGGAAAAATCGGGAAAAATTCAGGAGGGATGGAGGAAAAAATTGGGAATTTTTAGGGGGGATGGAGGGAAAAAATCGGGAAAAATTCAGGAGGGATGGAGGAAAAAAATTGGGAATTTTTAGGGGGGATGGAAAAAGAAAATTGGGAATTTTTAGGTGGGATGGAGGGAAAAATTCAGGTGGGATGGAGGAAAAAATTGGGAATTTTTAGGTGGAATGGAGGAAAAAAATTGGGAATTTTTAGGGGGGATGGAGGGAAAAAATTGGGAATTTTTAGGTGGAACAGAGGAAAAAATTGGGAATTTTTAGGTGGAACAGAGGAAAAAATTGGGAATTTTTGGGTGGGATGGAGGAAAAAATCCAGGTGGGATGGAGGAAAAAATTGGGAATTTTTGGGTGGGATGGAGGAAAAAATTGGGAATTTTTGGGTGGGATGGAGGAAAAAAATTGGGAATTTTTAGGTGGGATGGAGGGAAAAATCCAGGTGGGATGGAGGAAAAAATTGGGAATTTTTATGGGGGATGGAGGAAAAAAATCGGGAATTTTTAGGGGGGATGGAGGAAAAAAATTGGGAATTTTTAGAGGGGATGGAGGGAAAAATTCAGGTGGGATGGAGGAAAAAATTGGGAATTTTTAGGTGGGATGGAAAAAGAAAATTGGGAATTTTTGGGTGGGACAGAGGAAAAAATCCAGGTGGGATGGGGGAAAAAAATTGGGAATTTTTAGGTGGGATGGAAAAAGAAAATTGGGAATTTTTAGGTGGGACAGAGGAAAAAATTGGGAATTTTTAGGGGGGATGAAGGGAAAAAATCGGGAATTTTTAGGGGGGATGGAGGAAAAAAATTGGGAATTCCTGTGGTTTATCCCGACTGTTCCCATGGTTTATTCTGACCATTCCCCTGGTTTATTCTGACTGTTCCCCTGGTTTATTCTGACTGTTCCCCTGGTTTATTCTGACTGTTCCCATGGTTTATTCTGACTGTTCCCGTGGTTTATTCCGACTGTTCCCGTGGTTTATTCCGACTGTTCCCATGGTTTATTCCGACTGTTCCCCTGGTTTATCCTGGCTGTTCCCGTGGTTTAGTCTGACTGTTCCCATGGTTTATTCTGACTGTTCCCGTGGTTTATCCCGTCTGTTCCCGTGGTTTATTCTGACTGTTCCCGTGGTTTATCCTGGCTGTTCCTGCCGTTATCCCAACCATTCCCACGGTTTATTCCGACTGTTCCCATGGTTTATCCTGCCTGTTCCCGTGGTTTATTCTGCCTGTTCCCATGGTTTATTCTGACTGTTCCCGTGGTTTATTCCGACTGTTCCCATGGTTTATTCCGACTGTTCCCATGGTTTATTCTGACTGTTCCCGTTATTTATTCCGACTGTTCCCATGGTTTATTCTGCCTGTTCCCGTGGTTTATCCCGACTGTTCCCGTGGTTTATCCTGACTGTTCCCGTGGTTTATTCTGACTGTTCCCCTGGTTTATCCTGACTGTTCCCATGGTTTATCCTGACTGTTCCCATGGTTTATTCTGCCTGTTCCCGCTGTTTTCTGGCTCTCCCGGCAGGTGACGGAGCTGGGCCGCATCGCCAGCCATTATTACATCACCAACGAGACGGTGCAGACGTACAACCAACTCCTGAAACCCACCCTGAGCGAGATCGAGCTGTTCCGCGTCTTCTCCCTGTCCTCCGAGTTCCGCAACATCACCGTGCGCGAGGTACGGCCACAGCCGGCACCCGGCAACACCCAGGAACACCCAGGAACACCCGGCAACACCCGGCAACAACCAGGAACACCCAGGAACACCCGGCAACACCCAGGAACACCTAGAAACACCCGGCAACAACCAGGAACACCCAGGAACACCCAGAAACACCCGGCAACACCCAGTAACACCCAACAGCCGTCGCCCCACAACACACAGCAACACCCAGCAACACCTAGAAACACCCAGCAACACCCAGCAACACCCAGGAACAACCAGAAACATCCAGAAACACCCAGGAACATCCAGAAACATCCAGAAACACCCAGGAACACCCAGGAACACCCAGAAACAACCAGGAACACCCAGGAACACCTAGAAACACCTGACAACAACCAGAAACACCCAGCAACACCTAACAACACCTAGCAACCACTAGAAACACCCAGCAACACCCAGCAGCACCCAACACCAGCAGCCAGCTCCCAATCGAATCTTAGGATGTGATTCCATAAAATTTTAGGAATTGGATCCAGAAATTCAGGACGTGGAGCCATAAAATTTCAGGATTTGGTTCCATAAATTCAGGGATGGATCCATAAAAATTTGGGATGTGGATCCATAAAAATTTGGGATCTGGATCCATAATTTCAGGGTGTGAATCCATAAAAATTCAGCATGTGAATCCATAAAAATTTGGGATGAGGATCCATAAATTCAGGATTTGGATCCATAAAAATTCAGGGATGGATCCATAAATTCAGGATGTGAATCCATAAATTCAGGGTGTGAATCCATAAAAATTTGGGATGTGGATCCATAAAAATTTGGGATGAGAATCCATAAATTCAGGATGTGAATCCATAATTTCAGGATGTGGATCCATAAAAATGTGGGATGTGAGTCCATAAATTCAGGGTGTGAATCCATAAAAATTTGGGATGAGAATGCATAAATTCAGGATGTGAATCCATGAAATTTCGGGATGAGAATCCATAAATTCAGGATGTGAATCCATAAAATTTCAGGATGTGGATCCATAAAAATTCGGGATGTGAATCCATAATTTCAGGGTGTGAATCCATAAAAATTCAGGGGTCGCAATTCCTGGACTCGACGTTCCCGGAGGGAATTTTTCCCTTGGAGAAACCCCAGATAGAAAAAAAACTCGGGAAAAATTTTAATTTTTGGGGGGAAAAATCCAGAAAAACCTGGAATTTTTGGGGTGTTTGGGTTATTCCAAAGGGATTATCTGTGGTTTTTTTTTCAGGAAGAGAAGTTGGAGCTGCAGAAACTTCTGGAACGCGTTCCCATCCCGGTGAAGGAGAGCATCGAGGAGCCCAGCGCCAAGGTGGGAATTCCCAGCGGGAATTCCGGACTCTTCCCGTTCTGGAATGTTCTGGGGGAGGGATGGGATCCCTGGGAATGGGGGGAGGGGGGGAAAAAATTCCTGGAATGTTTGGAGGAGGGGAAAGGAAAATTCCTTGGGAATTCCCAGCCAGGGAAAGGAAAATTCCTTGGGAATTCTGGGCCAGGGAAAGGAAAATTCCTTGGGAATTCTGAGCCAGGGAAAGGAAAATTCCTTGGGAATTCTGAGCCAGGGAAAGGAAAATTCCTTGGGAATTCTGGGCCAGGGAAAGGAAAATTCCTTGGGAATTCCCAGCCAGGGAAAGGAGATTTTTTTGGAATTTGGGCCTGGAAAAGGAGATTTTTTTTGGGAATTTGAAAAGGAGATTTTTTTGGAATTAAGAACCAGGAAAAGGAGATTTTTTTGGGAATTTGGCACCAGGAAAAAGAGAATTCTTTGGGAATTTGGAGCCAGGAAAATCAGATTTTTTGGGAATGGGAAAATCAGATTTCCTTGGGAATGGGGAAAATCAGATTTCCTTGGGAATGAAGCACCAGGAAAAGGAGATTTTTTGGGAATGAAGAAAATCAGATTTTTTGGGAATGAAGAAAATCAGATTTTTTGGGAATGGGAAAATCAGATTTTTTGGGAATGGGAAAATCAGATTTTTTGGGATTGGGAAAATCAGATTTTTTGGGAATTGGGAAAATCAGATTTTTTGGGAATTAGAAACCAGGAAAAGGAGATTTTTTGGGAATTCCGAGCCAGGAAAATCAGATTTCTTTGGGAATTAGGAAAATCAGATTTTTTGGGAATTGGGAAAATCAGATTTCCTTGGGAATGGGGAAAATCAGATTTCCTTGGGAATGGGAAAATCAGATTTCCTTGGGAATGAAGCACCAGGAAAAGAAGATTCTTTGGGAATGGGGAAATCAGATTTTTTGGGAATGAAGAAAATCAGATTTTTTGGGAATGGCAAAATCAGATTTCCTTGGGAATGAAGCACCAGGAAAATCAGATTTTTTGGGAATGGGGAAATCAGATTTCCTTGGGAATGGGAAAATCAGATTTTTTGGGATTGGGAAAATCAGATTTCCTTGGGAATGAAGCACCAGGAAAATCAGATTTCGTTGGGAATTGGGAAAATCAGATTTTTTGGGAATGGGGAAATCAGATTTTTTGGGAATGAAGCACCAGGAAAAGGAGATTTTTTGGGAATTCCGAGCCAGGAAAATCAGATTTCTTTGGGAATTCAGTACCAGGAAAAGGAGATTTTTTGGGAATTCTGAGCCAGGAAAATCAGATTTTTTGGGAATGGGAAAATCAGATTTCCTTGGGAATGAAGCACCAGGAAAATCAGATTTTTTGGGAATGGGAAAATCAGATTTTTTGGGAATGAGCCAGGAAAATCAGATTTTTTGGGAATGGGGAAATCAGATTTTTTGGGAATGGGAAAATCAGATTTTTTGGGAATGAAGCACCAGGAAAAGGAGATTTTTTGGGAATGCGGAAAATCAGATTTCCTTGGGATTGGGAAAATCAGATTTTTCGGGAATGAAGCCGCTTTCCCAGGATATTCCATGAGAATTTTCCGTGGCCGTTCCCAGATCAACGTCCTGCTCCAGGCGTTCATCTCGCAGCTGAAGCTGGAGGGATTCGCGCTCATGGCCGACATGGTCTACGTCACCCAGGTGAGCCCGAATTCCACGGAATTCCCGGGAATTCCCGGGGAATTCCGAGGGGGATCCGCGCGGAAAGGGCGGATTTGGAAAGTTGGGAAGTTGGGAATGGGAATTTGGGAATGGGAATGGGAATGGGAATTGTTCAGGAATGGGAATTAATTGGGAATGGGAATTTGGGAATGGGAAATTGGGAATGGGAATTAATTGGGAATGGGAATTTGGGAATGGGAATTATTTGGGAATTATTTGGGAATGGGAAATGAATTTGAGAATGGGAATTTGGGAATGGGAAATGGGGAATGGGAATTATTTGGGAATGGGAATCGGGGAATGTAAATTTGGGATTGGGAATTATTTGGGAATAGGAATTGAATTTGAGAATGGGAATTTGGGAATGGGAAATTGGGAATGGGAAATTGGGAGTTTGGGAATTGTTCAGGAATGGGAATTATTTGGGAATGGGAATTTGGGAATGGGAATTATTTGGGAATAGGAATTGAATTTGGGATTGGGAATTATTTGGGAGTGGGAAATTGGGAATGGAAATTTGGGAATGGGAATTGTTCAGGAATGGGAATTAATTGGGAATGGGAATTTGGGAATGGGGATTCGGGAATGGGAATTATTTGGGAATGGGAATTGAATTTGAGAATGGGAATTTGGGAATGGGAAATGGGGAATGGGAATTTGGGAATGGGAATTTGGGAGTTTGGGAATTGAATTTGAGAATGGGAATTTGGGAATGGGGATTTGGGAATGGGAAATTGGGATTGGGAATTATTTGGGAATGGGAAATGGGGAATGGGAATTGGGGAATGGGAATTTGGGATTGGGAATTATTTGGGAATTATTTGGGAATGGGAAATTGGGGAATGGGAATTTGGGATTGGGAATTATTTGGGAATGGGAATTGAATTTGAGAATGGGAATTTGGGAATGGGAATTTGGGAATTTGGGAGTGGGAATTGTTCAGGAATGGGAATGAATTGGGAATGGGAATTTGGGAATGGGAAATGGGGAATGGGAATTTGGGCGTTTGGGAATGGGAATTGTTCAGGAATGGGAATTAATTGGGAATGGGGATTTGGGAATGGGAATTATTTGGGAATGGCAATTATTTGGGAATTATTTGGGAATGGGAATGCAGGAATGGGAATTTGAGAGTGGGACTTTGGGAATGGGAATTTGGGAATTTGGGAATGGGAATTTGGGAATGGGAATTTGGGAATTTGGGAATTTGGGAATGGGAATTTGGGAATAATGGGGAATGGGAATTTGGGATTGGGAATTATTTGGGAATGGGAATTTGGGAATTTGGGAATGGGAATTTGGGAATGGGGATTTGGGAATGGGAAATGGGGAATTGGGAATTGGGAATTTGAGAATGGGAATTATTTGGGAATTTGGGAATTTGGGAATGGGAATTATTTGGGAATTTGGGAATTTGGGAATGGGAATTTGGGAATTTGGGAATGGGAATTTGGGAATTTGGGAATGGGAATTTGGGAACTGTGGGACACAAGCCCGGAGCCTTTCCGTGCTCCGCAGTCGGCCGGCCGTTTGATGCGCGCCATCTTCGAGATCGTCCTGAACCGCGGCTGGGCCCAGCTCACCGACAAAACCCTCAACCTCTGCAAGATGATCGACAAGCGCATGTGAGCCCCCGGAATTCCCGGAATTCCCGGAATTCCCGGAATTCCCGCGGCTCCCTGACCCCTCGGGGACGTCCCGCAGGTGGCAGTCCATGTGTCCCCTGCGCCAGTTCAAGAAGCTCCCCGAGGAGGTGGTGAAGAAAATCGAGAAGAAGAATTTCCCCTTCGAGCGACTCTACGACCTCAACCACAACGAGATCGGTGCTGGAACGGGGGGAATTCCCAAAGATTTGGGGGGAAATCCTAAAAATTTGGGGTGAAATCCCAAAAATTTGGGTGAAATCCACCAAAATCCAGGCTGAAATCCCCAAAATTTGGGTGAAATTCCCAAAATCTGGGCTGAAATCCCCCAAATTTGGGTGAAATTCCCAAAATCCGGGATGAAATCCCACAAGTTTGGGTGAAATCCCAAAAATTTGGGTGAAATCCCACAAATTTGGGTTGAAATCCCCAAAATTCGGGATGAAATCCCACAAATTTGGCTGAAATCCCACAAATTTGGGCTGAAATCCCCAAAATTCGGGATGAAATCCCAAAAATTTGGGTGAACTCCCACAAATTTGGGTGAAATCCCAAAAATTTGTCCCAAAATCCCCCAAATTTGGGTGAAATTCCCAAAATCCGGGCTGAAATCCCACAAATCCGGGCTGAAATCCCTCAAATTTGGGTGAAATCCCACAAATTTGGGTTGAAATCCCAAAAATTTGGGGTGAAATTGCCAAAATCTGGGCTGAAATCCCAAAAATCCGGGATGAAATTCCATTATTTTTAAAGAATTCTCCCTCTCAGAATCCCATTTTTTCTGGAAATTTTTTCTCTCATAATCCCATTTTTTCTGGGAATTCCGCCCTGACCCCACCCTGTTTTTTTAGGGAATTCTCCCCCTCATAATCCCATTTTTCTGGGAATTTCACCCTGACCCCACCCTGATTATTTAGGGAATTCTCCCCCTCATAATCCAATTTTTCTGGGAATTCTCCCCCTCATAATCCCATTTTTTCTGGAAATTTTCCTCCTCACAATCCCATTTTTCTTGGAATTCTCCCCCTCATAATCCATTTTTTTCTGGAAATTCTCCCCCTCATAATCCCATTTTTTCTGGGAATTCCGCCCTGACCCCACCCTGATTTTTTTGGGAATTCTCCCCCTCATAATCCCATTTTTTCTGGGAATTTCGCCCTGACCCCACCCTGATTTTTTCGGGAATTCTCCCCCTCATAATCCCATTTTTTCTGGGAATTTTCCCCCTCATAATCCCATTTTTTCTGGGAATTCCGCCCTGATCCCGTTGTTTTTTTCCCGCCTCTCAGGGGAGCTGATCCGGATGCCGAAAATGGGGAAAACCATCCACAAATACGTTCACCTGTTCCCGAAGCTGGAGCTGTCGG